CAATTACCTCTCATGAGCTTCGCGCCTACTTCTGATCATCAATGTGGAGAGAGAGAGAGAGAGAGAGAGAGAGAGAAAGAGAGAGAGAGAGAGAGCCGATATTTTCGGACACCGAACACGGGAATAGCGCTTCGCACGGACGTACGGTCAGCCAAGACCCAGGGCCACGTCGCCCGCTAAAAATCCGACGAACCTCCCCTCCTCCAGCGCCCAGGCCGGGTCGCGTGCTGGCCTGATTGTTTCAGCCCCCGCCTACCACCTCACACGTTCTCTCGGAAAGCAAGGTCGTCGCAAAGGAAGCCGCCGAGCTCAGTCGGTTGGGCACGCAAGCGACATTGAGGAGGTCGTGGGTTCAATTCCAACAGACCGCCTGGGGTATTCTTGCTGCCAACCAACTGAGATGGTTGGCTTGCTCCCCCTGACCGCTATTTTCTTTTTGTTTTAAGAAACATTGGCGAGGGTGTAGGTGTGGGTGGGGGTGGGGGTGCTGGTAAGCGCAGTCAACCCCTCTACACCCTCGTTATTGGATGGCTCCGTTCCATTGGTGGGGAGCTGCACCTGCTGTAAACCGGGTCCGGCGTCCCTTCACATCCAAATCCAGGAACCAGGGTTACTAGATCAGTTGCCATTGTTCAATTTCCGAGGCCAAGTATCATGCCTCTGCCCACAGCCGGTCCCATGGGCTCTGTTTTTTAACTTTTATGGGCTTGATTTAGTAGGCCGTATCACCCCTATTTTGCAGTTGACAAGTCATGCCCCGAAGTTGTATTTGATCAGTCGTCACTTGGGTCGGCATCGCTGTTGATGTTGATGACGTCAGGACCCAGATAATTACCGGCCTCAAGTGTTGCCGGGAGTCTTTCTGTTATTGCCCTTCCATTGTGGTGTCCGGGCACCTTCCGCCGTACCATTTGGCATCCAACCCCCGCCCATATGCCGTGTTCTGTCTGTGGATCCATTCGGCGTCCAACTTCCCGTCAGCGTGTCATGCATGTCTTCCTGTCCACAGCAGCAATTGCAACTTGACTTCAGGGCGGCGGGGAGTTCTGGTACGAGGACTGAATGCCTGGGCATTAGTCTTCCCTCTGCGGTGCGGGGAAGGAGTTTGGATCGGGGGTGGTCTTCTGTACTAGGTCGGTAGGTTAGTAGCTATCCAAGCTTTTCTTAAACTTTTTCATAGTTCTCAGATTGTTCTTAGCCGAAGCCAGGTAATGGCCCTGGTATCTCAAATCATTTCTCGAATCATCAGTATAATTCTATATGGGACGCTGGGCCC